TGAAAAGTGTGAATAACCTAACTATCTGCAGGACCCCAAGACCCGAAGATTTTTCCCTGTGATAGCTTGACATATCCACGTTAGAATAAAAGACATTGTCTGGCTTGATCAACCTGTCTTTGCCTTTACAACAAAAGGATACTACTCGTATTTGAGGGTGATACAGGCGGTTGGGAGCACAGAAAACCATCAATATGGTGAGACAGTAACAGTAACGAAAACAAGGTTGAAAGAAAATCAAGCCGTTGCCAGATAAATTATGTATTATAAAAAATCTCGTAAATTATGGTCTAAATTCTATGTACGAATCAAATTTCTCTACATTTAGTGAATCTATACAGGGTCAAAACGGATGAACAATTGCTGAGGAAGCGAGAGAGGGAGGGGGACAAAATGCTTTAGATCTACTTTTGGAATAACTTAAACCGTACACAGTGAGGTGTTGAACTTTAGCGCAACAACAGCATTAGCACGATGAGAGAGTTCGCAGGGTCACTGCCGAAGTACAACATCCAACAACAACCACTAAATTTCAATCTAGATTCTAATGTAAAAGACATACCTGTTCTTTGTCGAGTCGTCTTCCATCGTCATGGGTGCTGTAGGTTCAGTAGGCAGAAGTGATGGCCTGACACGATCCTGGTCCTTCAGTTGTCGTCACTCCATATTTATAATCCGGTAAAGTCTTTACGTTCGAGACTGGAGTCTTTGTAATCTGGGTGGCATCAATTTCAAAATGAGGACCAATCATAAGCTATTAGTGGAGAAACGAGTGAACAAATAAAAATGTGTTCTTGTCCATTTCATGGAACAGAACTGGGATAGCCCTTTCAAGCAGCCGAGCAGGGATCTTGAAAACTTAATAGTAGTCATAATTGATCTTTCAATAAGGCTACTGTCCAGTCAGAGAGAAGAGAGTTAAGAAGAAGAAGAAGAAGAAGAAGAAGAAGAAGAAGAAGAAGAAGAAGAAGAAGAAGAAGAGGAAGAGGAAGAAGAAGAAGAAGAAGAAGAAGAAGAAGAAGAAGAAGAAGAAGAAGAAGATGATGATGATGAAGAAGAAGAAGAAGAAGAAGAAGAAGAAGAAGAAGAAGAAGAAGAAGAAGAAGAAGAAGAAGAAGAAGAAGAAGAAGAAGAAGAAGAAGAAGAAGAAGAAGAAGAAGAGGAGGAGGAGGAGGAGAAGGGGGTGGAGGGGAGGAGGGGGAGGAGGAGGGGGAGGAGGAGGGGGAGGGGGGAGGAGGAGGAGGGGGAGAGGGACGGAGGAGGGAGGGGGACGGAGGAGGATGAAGAGGGGGAGGAGGAGGAAGGAAAGGAGGAAGAAGATGACAGAGAATAAGAAATTTGTGAAAAGGAAAATGACGATAACGGCAACAATATCAAGAGCCCCAAAGCCAGTAAATGTCAGAAAAATCAATAGCGGCACGGGCCTCGACAAAAAAGTTATTAACAGGAATAACAAGAAATAATAACAAGCATACCGCGAGTTACGCATGTAAGCACAAAATATAGTTAATTCAAATTAAGCTTTTAAATGAGTTCAGCTTTAGATTAACAATATATGTACCTGACTTTCGTTAATCGAAGCATCATCTGTTCTTCCTGTCGGGTAAAAACTGCACTTGACACTCCTTCTTTATCCAAACTTCGAAAGCACAGAGTAGTTTTCTATTGTACCGTATGTCACTCGCATCACGCTGATAATGTGCAATACAGTATACCTAGGCAAGCGTCGCTATTACCACACGTTGACGACTACATCTATATAATAATATATCTCAGACGGACCGCCCAAAGAATTGCGATAAGAGATGCTGAAGTGATACGAAGCATTCTGCTGATCGATAAGTCGCTGAATGAATCTCTCTCTCTCTCTCTCTCTCTCTCTCTCTCTCTCTCTCTCTCTCTCTCTCTCTCAAGCTCAGCGGGCAGGTAACAACGGAGGAGTGATGGCGAGGACAAGAGCGGTGCGTCCTACAGAACTGGAGAAACACAGACGGTGCAAGTAAGGTGTGGTTTTTCGATATAGCTGCGGCCTCCAAACATGTACACGTAGATGTCTCGAACTTAATGAGAGGAGGGGGGGGGGGGGGCATCTGCAAGTGGGAACGTTGGTCTAAAAATAAGAAAATCGAAAAGGGGGGGGGGGGGGGGGGTCTTGCATGTAATGACAAAACAGTAACAGCATTCGAAAATCGTGAATGAATCTGTGCTCACCGCAAATTTGATTCGTTTACTGAATTAAACCAACCAGATTTTCCTTTATGGGGGAGCAAAAGCAGCCATATTGGCACAATTCGACCATGACCTTCAAAATCAAGGGCGTTTGTTTGTTTCATTGCTTTTCATGAACATGAGTCGAACCGGTCGTAGCCGTTGGGTGTGAACAGACAATCACAAGGTTTGTAGCTCACGAGTCACAAAGTCATAGTCATATTTTTTTTAGCGCGGAATACGGTAATTGACAGTGTTAGTTTGGAAAAGCTGATACTGATCGATCTTGAAAGTTATCGGCATTTTTCTTGTCTGTGGAATTCGACAACCTCACTATTCAACCGCAAAATGCGGTAGTCGGCACTTGAAGCCATTATTGATGGAAATGGCGGTGTTGTGTACGGTAAATTTTATGTGGACAATAACACTGGGCGATGGACAAAGTTTTCTATTCTTTAACTTCTCAACGGATAAATAAAATTCCCCACAACAAGGGAGGGGTCTTTTCACAGACCCGACCCGATCCGATCCGCCTGTGGGCACCAAGAAATTTTTACAAAATCTACAAAGCAAGAATAGTCACAAGATGGTACCCTAAAATATATAACTTATAACTCCCAACGACCGTTAGACACGGTTAATCCCTTAATCGTTGTTGAGTAGGAATATTTGTTATGGGGCGGTAGGGGTAGGGTTGGGGTTGGGATTAGAAGTCTTCTTTGTTCCATATTATATCTAGCTGGGCCTGTCTAGTTTTAGCATATCGTATCTGAATAGACTAGTTCTGTCTTTAATGTAGTGTGGCCTGTTTATCGATGTCATCCTCTTCTCCGAGTTTTTTCTCTGGTTTTGGTTTGTTGAGGGTTTTTTTTAATTTTGGTCTCAATCAGTTGCACCTTTTAATTTTATAAAAGCCGTCGTGCCCCAGATTCGTGCCAGGAGTATCTCCTCTTGGGCAAGTTTTCCCTTCACAGGATGAAGTGCACGTCCTTAAAAAAAAAAGAAAGAAAAAAAGTAGGCTACAGACTAATATCTGGTGGGATATTTTAGAGGACTCAGCATAATAATATGTTGGAAATCTGCTAAATTGTTGCTCACACTGCTTCTTTCATATTAATTTTGATCGTCAACGCGCTGTTAAAAGATCGAGCCGTAATAAATGTATTCCTAGTCTGAGATTGTAAAACTGGGTTTGTTTTGTTTATTTGTTCTTTTTTATGTTACTGCCAGTGTACAGTATGTCCCTCTTCCTACTTCTGTGTCCCACCTAGAAGGTGGCCCACCGCGATCGAGTCACGCGACGGCCACGGTCACTCTCGGCGCCGTGATCATCGTCTGCGTCCAAAGCAGTTTCCGGCTTGTCAAACCGCGGGACCGTGGGAGTGGACAGGGAGGACTGGCGGGGCGGTTTGGATTCGAGTTTGGGTTTTGCGTGTGCGCGTGTTTTCTGTTTTACTTTTTGTTTTGTTTTGCTTTGGATCAGGTGCTTATTTTTGGGATGGGGAAGTTTCTGTTTGTTTTTGCTGCTGATTTTTTTTTTCTCAAAGGGTGGGGGGTTTGGAGGATACATTAGGGGGGTGAGGAAGGTATTATAGGGGCGGAGAAGCCTCAGTTCATTCTGCAGAAATCCAAAAAAGGGGCAAGAACTGAACTGCCGTCAACAAAGCCACTTCTAAAAGGCTCTTCAAAAAATCCGATGAAGGCGACTGGTGATAGGCTACTGAATTGCGTGTAGAAATCCCCGAGCGCTAGAATCCCATATTGCAGTTGTAAGTTAGCGATACCCAAGCCTACACTAGTGTAAACCTAAACTCGCCCAAAAAAGTCAAGGAACAGCTTGTGTTCTCACCTGTCAAATTCAAACTTCAATATCTCACAAACCCGTTATGATCAGTCAACCAAACTTGGCACACGCACTGACGACTAGACACAGTTTGCCTGTACGGCAAATTTGCCAGCACCAGCTTCATAGCGACGGCGCAGGGCATTCTGAAACACAGTCGAAAAGCATGAAAAATTTCTCTGACTCAGCAACATTGGCATAGGGACTGTTAGCTAAAACTAAGCTTGGCGTGTGCTAAACAGATGTCTTAGCTGTGAATATTGCGCACTTACAACTCTTTATAAGCCGGCGTTTTTCCTGTCGTGTTTCATTACAACACGATGGTCCAACAACACTCGCTGCCTGACGTCGACAGAGGACGAGCCCTTACCTGCCTCCAAGATGGCTCCACGTTCCCAGTTGTTGCACATCGATTTGGGGTGTCTCCATCAGTCATATAGAGGCTGCAAGAACGATGGCGAGAGACCGGAAGGGTCCTGGACAGGCCTCGACTAGGACCGCCCCGTTTGACCAACAACAGCGTCGAACGGTTCATCGTCAAACAGGCCGTGACGTCACGAACCACCTCTGCAAACTGCATCAGGGACCAACTACGGGTGACAGACAATGTCCACGAGAGCGAGGAGACGGTAAGGAACCGTATCCGTAGAGCCAGGTTAGCTTCTTGTGTCCCAGTCAGGCGCCCAAGGCACACACCGCCCAACAAAGCAGCTCGCCTGGCGTGACCTGCTCGTCAGTAACAGTGGGCACATTGTCAGTGGGACCAGGTAGTCTTCTCGGACGAATCCAGATTCAACCTGTTGCACCCAGACAGGCGAGCCCACTTCTGGAGGCGCCGAGGAGAGCTGTTCCACCCTGAGTGCATCCAGCAGGTGGCGCTCTACTTTACAGTGTCCGTTCTGGTGTAGGGAGGCTTCCCAGCTCACCACAGGAACCCATGTACCATATACAGGGTAATTTGACCTCGGCAAGGTACAGGGAGGAAATCCTGCGTCCCCTTGCTGTTCCTCTCCTGAAGCAGATTGGACCCCAGGCTGTACTGCAGGATGACAACGCCACGCCATATCGGGCACGCATCGTGGGGGATTTCCTGCTGCAGCGAGCTGTCACCTGCATGGACTGACCAGCTTTGTAGTCCGGATTTGAACCCAACAGAGACCATTTGGGATCACATTGACTGGTGGATAAGGGACAACCACCCTCCTGCACAAAACCTTCAACAACTCTTGGGCTACCTCGTCAAGGAGTGCAGAACCAACCACAACAAGTTCTCCGAAGGCATGTTCTGTCCATGCATCGACGCTGTGCCGAGTGTTTGATCAAACGGAGTGGCTACATCCACTATTGACAATGTTCATGAAGAACTTTGGCTGTTCAGACTTTTGAAATCCGACCAGTGCGACTTAAATTCGTTTTACATAAACTTCTCGTTGTTGTTGAAATCTGATTTTTCACACTTAATCTAGAGAGTCGAAAGCATCTTTTGTGAAAAAATGAATAAATTCGGTTAAACTGTTCTTCAGTAATCTTTATTTGAATTCTTGTTCCTTGACTTTTTTGTGCGAGTTTACTTACAGACTATAGACAACTGCTTGTGGCAATATTATATTTAATTATTCCTCTCCACTCCCTCGTGTTCTTCATAATTTTATATCACTGTTTCAATGGAGCGCCGTTTACGTTTATAAGTTTGTACATTGTATTAGTAGGCCTACTATTACCCTAGACAACAAGACGATGAAGATGGCACCCAGAATCCACAAACGGAATGTTCTCATCTCTTGAACGTGGGTTGTTTGGGGTCCTCCTCCACTGGATTCAATTCAATCGGAAACCGACGTCAAACCAGGACTCGCTTTTCAATCATCATCATCATCATTATCCAGTGCCAGATCTGCGACAGAATTCGGCAATCATGGTTCTCCATTTATTCCTTTGCTCGGATGCTCTCAAAAAAGCCTCATTTCCCTGATCTTTCCCTGTTACCCATTTGTTTAGATTCCCCAAATATGTTGTTCTGGGCCTTCCCCTGCCTCGCTTGCCCTCAGTTTTGCCAGTGAGAGCTAGATGTTCAAGACCCTTATGTCTATTTATGTGTCCGAAAACTGCATTTGTCGTTTCCTGGTTGTTTTTAACATTGAGTGTCCCACGTGGGCTTCATCAAGCACTACCTCGGTTGATTTCTTTCTCTTCCACGATACTCTTAGCAGTCTCCTAAGAAACCACATTTCTGTTGCTTCCATTTTATTTTCACTGTCTTTAGTGATTGTCCAGCATTCACAGCCATATCGTACCTAAAGGTGTTGGAAGGAGCGCTTAACTCACATCATACCCGTCACTTCCTCCAACCTGAGCTGAGAGGGATACAACATTCAAGCAGAAAAACATAAAATAAAATACTATCAATATTATTTTGTTGTTGGTGTTGTTGTTCAAGTTGTAATTGGAAATCGAACACGTATCTTCTGTGTGCGATGGCGAAGCGCCTTGTGCCACAGACAACGGCGGGATTTTTCAAGAGGGGATATAGTCCATCTACTGGTAGGCCTAGTTCTACTTTACTTTAAATGCAATGAAGTGAAATGGAAGTTGGCGTAAATTCGTTATTGGCTCCCCAAAGTGTTTAAAAAATATATTATATTTGAATAACGTCCGCTACTACTACTACTACTACTACTACTACTACTACTACTACTACTACTACTACTACTACTACTACTACTACTACTACTACTACTACTATTATTATTATTATTATTATTATTATTATTATTATTATTATTATTATTATTATTATTATTATAACTTATGTAGAGATTTATTCTTATTAGTACCGTATAGCTTACTATAATCATCACCACCAACTTTAATCAAAATAAAGAGCATGACTACTCCGACCTCTTTTATTGTTATAATACAGTCATTTCGGTTTCTCTGGCTTTAACCAATTGCTAGGCTAAGCTAGGAAATTTGCGTTTAAATAGGCCTAACGATCATACCCTCCGAAATTTGTGTCCGCCTTGTCAGGCTGAGCGAGACGACCCAACTATAATGAAACGGATTGTCGTTTTTGGACAGTGTTATTTAAAAAAACCCACACAAAACAAATAAAGCTTAGAAATAAAAACACAGATCTCAAATAAATTAACTTTTATTTGTCAACCCTATTATTAGGGAGAAAATTTACATTTGAATTTGGGACGAAATTGACACTGCTGCGTAGTACCGCTCGGCGCACTTTTTCCAGAATGCAAACTCGGACTGTTGCGATGCATTTACGTAATTATCATTCGGCTATTAAATTATCATTATTATTCTTGACATTTATGAGCCCAATCCTGAAAAATAGAAACATCTCAATGAACACCAAAGAAAGTCCTGAAATGCTATGTTTGGACAACCCTTCTATATGGCTGTGAATGCTGAACAATCACTAAAGACCGTGAAAATAAAATAGAAGCAACAGAAATATATATGGTTTCTTAGGAGACTGCTAAGAGTTGTGGAAGAAAAGAAATCAAATGAGGTGGTGCTTGATGAAGCCCACGTGGGACGCTCAATGTTAAAAACAATCAGGAAACGACAATAATGCAGTTTTTGGGACACCTGAATAGACATAGGGGTCTTGAGTCTTGAACATCTAGCTCTCACTGGCAAAATTGAGGGCAAGTGAGACAGGGGTAGACCCGGAACAACATACATTGTACTTAGGGAACCTAAACAAATGGGTAACTGGGAAAGATCAGGGAAACGTAGCTTCTTTGAGAGCATACGAGCAAAGGAATGAATGGAAATCCAAGATCGTCGATGTCTGTCGAAGATCTGGCACTGGATGATGATGGTGATTCTTGAAATATGACAGATTTTTATAACGCAGCATTTGTCAGTATAATAGAGTTATCTCCTTTTTAGTGTAAATCAGTGTCTCTGTGTAAATTTATATAAACATTGAAGACTTTATGGCTTTGACTACCTAAGGCTAAGGTATCGAATAAACGGT